CCTGTGTCTTTGTTTTGTTACCATGCCATATTTTTAAAAATAAATAAAAATGACTTGGCAAATGATGGGAAGGCAGGAAATATTCAACACTGTAAAGACCATTCAACTGCAGTCTCTTTAACAAAGAAAAGAGAAAATAATCCAGCAATGCTTCTCTGTACATTAGACAATATTCTAGAGAATCAAAAACACTTTCACAAATTTTAAAATAAGTAGAAAAAACTGCAGGCAAATCAAAATTAGGGACAAAGCTTATGATCCTATTTTTTTGGGGGGGGGAGTTGGTCATGGGGCTTGAACTCTGGGCCTGGACGCTGTCCCTCAGCTCTTTCATCTCAAGGCTAGCACTCTACCACTTGAGCCACAGTGCCACTTCCAGTTTTCTGATGTTTAATTGGAGATAGTCTCACTGATTTTCCTTCCCGGGCTGGCTTTGAACCACGATCCTCAGATCTCAGCCTCCTGAGCAGCTAGAATTATAGGCATGAGCCACTGGCGCCCCACTTCCTGACCTTTTTTTTTTTTAATAACTGCAAAGGACTACAAAATTCAGAATTTCTCTCTATACCTTTCACATTGAAGCAACAGCATTGTTGGAAAGGGGAGGTTACTTGACAGACCTGAGTTACCTAGGGGCTTGTCCAAGGGCTTGACCTCAGGGCCTGGGCACTGTCACTGAACTTCTTTTGCTCAAGGCTAGCATTCTATCACTTGACCTACAGTTCCACTTCTGGTTTTCTGGTGATTAGTTGGAGATACATCTCATGGACTTTTCCTGCCTGGGCTGGCAATTCTCAGATCTCAACCTCCTGACTGACTAGGATTTACATGTGTGAGCCGCCAACACTCAGTAGTGTGTTAGCTCCGTTACATGTGCTTCACTTCTCTCAAAGCCTTTAGTGTCTTCTTCCATCCTCAATAGCTCACCCCTTTCCCCTTCTACAGTGGAAGGATTCAGGCCCACACTTTTCCTGTGTGTGGACTTTTCCAATATGGTCTTTGATGCACTCACAGTCTTGATACCTGTATTTCTCCAAGTATTTCCATTCAAGATTGGGGTGATATATGGCCACACTTTCAGACCTTGAGCTCTTGGGCCCCTAGTTTAGCCTACAATTACAGAACTGGTACTGTTACAGAAGTTAATAATATTACATCTTTCTTGAAATGTTCATCATGAAAGCTACCACCCAAGCTACCACTTGTGATTTTTAATATGTCTGACACATCGCTGGCTTTTCTTGCTGTCCTGGTGATATAATAAGTAGTAGACTCACCACCACATATGTCATGAACCCACTTCTGTTTTTGGCATGCAAAGTTTTACTACACAGGAAGTTTTTTAGTTGCCCAGCATTGTTTATGACTCAGTTCTTTCAGTCTAGTAGCCCTAGTTCTACAAAGCTCAGCCCTAGCCTCTGAAGTTGTTTACCAAAGATATTCATCAGTCAGCTACACATATAGCCTGTGTTTCAAAACTGACTTTCAATGTGTTGTGGCTCACACCTATGCTTAGCTACTCATGAGGCTGAGATCTTGGTTTGAAATCAGCCAGGACAGGAAAGTCCATGAAAGTCCATGAGACTCCAGTTAGCCCCCTTCTTCCCTCCCCCTCTCCTCTGTCTTTTCTTCTCCTCTCTCCTCCCTCCTCTCCCCCCACCCTGTTTGTGGAAATGTAGCTTTAGTAGTGCACTACCCTTGAGCAAAAAACATCAAGAACAGTGCCTAGGCCCTGAGTTCAAGCCCCAGGATAGGCACAAAAACAAAAACAAAATCTGACTTTCAAGAATAGCACCTCACCACTTCCTCACAAGCACCACCACGTCACAAAAATTTCTTTTTCTTTTTCTTTTTTTTTTTTTCATTTTTTTGGGTCCGGTTGTGGGGCCTGAACTCTGGGCCTGGGCACTGGCCCTCAGCTCTTTAGCTCAAGGCTAGCACTCTACCACTTGAGCCATAGCATCACTTCCAGCTTTTTTTTTTTCCTGCTTATGTGGTGCTGAAGAATCGAACCCAGGGCCTCAGGTATGCAAGGCAAGCGCTCTAACCACTGAGCCACCTTCCCAGCCCAAGAATTTCTTTTTTCTGATCTCCACCTTCATAGCTCTATTATGAAACCTTCATTTAGTCTGGAGTTTGAGGCTTATATTAGTGCATCTTTTGTCAGTTTTCCCAAAGGCCTTTTGGTTTTTCATCTCAGATTTAGTTGACTTTCTTTGAAGTTACAACATACAATTTCATGATCTCCAAATACAATCTAGAAAATTCATTGTGAAAATTTGAGTTATCTGATTTATATGATTTACAAATAACAACAAATCTCATTTATCTTGGTGCCCAGAATTATCAGACCTGTGGTCTTCCATAATGTGTTAACTCTTCTGCATATCTGTCATTATCACAGTTTTCTTTAAGGCTAACATGGAAACAATGCATTAGGAATTGTCTGCACTGGCACCTAAGAGACACTTTACCACTTGAATGTGATGAGAATAGGATTACCTTCAAAATCATTGGAAATGTACATTTTCAGCAAATGTAAGATGTCCATGACAAGTCACAGAGCAATTACAGGAGGCAGAATGTTATAATCTTTCAACAGCAATAAATTTGCAATATAGTTTATAAAGATCTCTCACATCTGTATGTGTCTCATTTCACACCTTTTAATTTCATCTCACTGAGAAATGGAAAAACATGAAGTTTTCAATCTCTGTTTATATAGGCAGATGACCTTTATATACATTGAGAATTACATATATATATATGTATATATGATATACCTATATATTATATATGATATAGATGTATATATTATGTGATATATGAGTTTCTCCTCTGCAGCTGTCATTGAAATCATGTGAAAATCAAGCTATATTTAAGTTTAATATACATAATTACTTTTCCTAACTAACCTTGTTTCTAAGTTCCTAACAGAATTTCCTCTTTTTCTATACTGGCTTTAAATACACCATACTGACAGAGCCCATTGTTCCATTATATCTAAATAATGTGGTTTATTTAATGTTCTATCTTGATTGTTTTAAAATTTATAACCTTATTGTCTAATTATAAAATAACACATTAGGTATAGAAAATTTTGGAAATGCACAAAAATTCTAAAACTCCAAAATCAACTGTAATCTTGACAGCCAGAGATAACATGTTATTAACATATTTCCCGTTGGTATACTTTGTGGAGGGTAAGAGAAAAAACAAATTGTAAATAGGGATACAGATGGACCCATTGCAACAATGAGATGTACAAGAAGTTATGTCGAAAAATGAACTTTACAACTTTGGCAGGGACTGCAGGTGGGGAGGGTGTGGGAGATGGGAAGGGATGGGAAGGGGAAACAAAGGAGGAGGCAACAATGCTTGATAAGAAATGTACTCATTACCTTGCTCATCTAATTGTAACTCCTCTGTACAGTATTTTCACAATAAAAAATGAAAAAACAAAACAAAACATATTTTCCTTCACCCTTGTGCAAGTGAGCACAAAATTTATTAGAGAAGACAATTAAGCTAGGTAGAAGACAATCAGGCTAGCTAGGCAGAAGCAGAGGTTTAGTAAATCACCACATCCATCACTCCTGAAGTGAGATCAGAGGTGCTAGACTCTGAAATAAGGTGCAGTTCTTGCCCCTGTTAGGCTCCTGTGAGGAAAGTTTTCAATCCCTTGCATGGTGTCTGTATTTTATAGCAGTAGCACTTCCAGCAGTAGTTACATAGGTGGCTAATTTTAGAGTCATGTTTTCCTCTCATATATGCCTTATTGTCAATCTTCTTCTGTATCTTTGACCAGTATCAGATCTTGGCAGTCCCACAATACTGGGGAAATAGCAGTGGGCTGCTCATCAGAGGATGCTAGGGTTCTTGTAGAGTTCATTTCACATCTTGAACTGGGGTTATTTACAAATTATCCTGCACAGATTTTTCTCTCCCACATAGGGGTAGGTCTTCTATTTACTACAGTTTGAACTAATAGAATATAGAGTTTGCTTAGGTTATGTGACAGAAATTCTCAGTGAGGAATATCATAACTACAGTATCTTTGTTTTGTTTCATTTTTGTGCTGGTCCTGAGGCTTGAACTCTGGGCTTTGGGTGCTGTCCCTGAGCTCCATTTGCACAAGGCTAGTGCTCTACCACTTATGCCACAGCTCCACTTCTGCCTTTTTTGGTAGTTAGTTGGAGATAAGACTCTCATGGACTTTCTCTCTGGACTGGCTTTGAACTTCAGTCCTCAGATCTCAGCTTCCTGAATAACTAGGCATGAGCTACCAACACCTGGCTTATGACTACAGTTTTTGACTATAACAATTGAGACACAGCATAGATCATCAGTGTGATGATTTGTTAAATTTAATTTGCCAAATTGAATGTATTAATAAAACAAGAATAAGGTTTTTATGTTGTAAGATTGTGCAGAATGGGTCTGGGAAGGTGGCTCAGTGGTAGAACATTTGCCTTGCATGCATGAGGCCCTGGGTTCAATTCCTCAGCACCACATAAGCAAAAAGAAAAAAGCCGGAAGTGGTGCTGTGGCTCAAGTGGTAGAGCGCTAGCCTTGAGCTGAAGAGCTGAGGGACAGTGCCTAGGCCCAGAGTTCTGGCCCCACGAACAGACCTCCCCCACAAAAAAGATTGTCAGAATATAGACTATCATGAAAAGGAGCAAAATGTTTCTAAGAATCATAGTCAAATTTTTCTCATTTTCATTCAATCCATGTAAATTCCTGTTCTTTTCAATTATTTTTAATTTTCACACATTAATAGATTTCTTTGTGATAATTCCACACGTGTTTGTGAGTTAGCCATGATACGTGAGTCAAAATGACATACTTTCTGCATATATGTGCAGAAAAGAGTAATATTTGTTATTTTGGAGGACGACGCTGTTCTATAATATATATTATTTTGCTCCCATATTTATCTTTCATGGATAGCTATGTTAGTTGTGATAGACAAATTCTCAATTCTTAGAAATAGTATATATAGCACTTGTGTGTGTCTTTGTTTAATATCTAACAAAGGCTTACCAACGGGTACAAAAATAAATATTCTTTCACAACCCAGAACTTATTGTTCAGTATGAGTTTTGTTACATGTAAGAAGGAATATTATCATTACTACAATAATTTGAAGTGACTAGGGTATTGGTACCCATTCAGGTAGACCCTAAGAGTAAAGTTGATCATTTAAAAGCAGGGGGGTAAAAAGAAATAACTTTTGAGTTGGACATCATTGAAAGTTCTATAGAAATTAGTATAATCTCTAGAACAGTTTCAATCTCATGGGACTAATTCATCTTTATCTTTGAGTAGGTTTTTTGAGGATTGGGAACACTTAAATTGTCCTATGGAGTAAGCATTTTAGGGAAGACACTGGTTTAGATTATAAAGTGCTGTTTCTTTGTGAATATAAATTCAAGTATCACACCTCAGTGGGACAGTAGGGAGAAAAACTCTATGTTTGTCCATACTCTGCTTTATGAAGCTGCCAAATCAACCGTGAGTGCCACATTTCTGAATTTTGTTATGGGTCAGAGAAACAATTATATTTTATTCAACCACTTTTATTTTGGGTCCCTTGTTGTACTATTTCTGCCACTGTAATTGCATGTGTGAGAAATTTATGTTGCAGTAGAAAAAGATTATTTTTGGCTCATTATTCTGGAGTCCAAAATCAAGTGTGCTCCCACCACAGTAAATCTAGGCTCTAATAAGGGCAACAAATCATAGAAGATTAGCAGAGCAAACCATTCATTTCATGAACTGGAAGGAAGCCATACATTATCCTATGAGGCATACCCTTAATGATCTGACACTACCTTCTATAAGATCCAACCTCTAAAAGGTATTTACCACCATTTAGCAAAACTGCTATTAACTATGAAACTTTTGGATGACATTCATGCAAACATTAGTACTCATGTATACTTAATGGCATTGTGGATGAGTATATTAGGCCTTTTTCTTTTTAGAAATTCTATTCTGTGAGTGAAAAATATGTAAGCAACTTTACATATGGCTATGATAGCCTATTTCTGGTCTACAATATTTTACATTTTAATAGAGAAAAGAGTCATATACAAAATCACTACCATATCAAGCAATGACTGATGGAATATATAATGTATCTGTTAATTTTGCATTTCTGTAACAGAATGTCTCACATAAAGAATGAGGGAAAAGTTTATTTTGCTCACTATTTCAGAGCGCTCAATCCATGACCACTTGGCTCTATATCACTGGGCCTGTTGTGAAGCAGAACATCATAGTGATGGGAGCATGTGGAGGAGGCCATTTACCTTGTAGTTACCAGGAAGCAGAACAGCCTTCTGATGGGAGCAGGCTGATTACTTAATGGTGGCCAGGAAACAGAGAGAAAAGAAGGGTCTGGGGAGTCAGATGCTACCTACAAAGGCATACCTCCAACTAACCCACCTCCTAAAGTTTCCAGGACCTTCCAAACAGCACCACCACCTGTGGACCAAGCATTCAACACATTCGCCTGTGAGAGACATTTCATATTAGAACCATAACAGGTAAGCAATTAATTCGCAAGTATAAAGTTTTCTACCTAGTTTTTCTGGCATAAAAATGATGGATGACATATTCAATGAACAGATTGAAATTCAAAAACAAAAACCTTTACAGTTATGGTCAATTGATTTTTGACAAAGGTACAAGACAACTCAATAGTAGAATAGATGGTACTGGTTAAAATGAGTATCTGCATGTAAAAGGTTGAAGTTGTACCCCCAACTTCACATCACCTAAAAACATTAACTCAGAATAAATGTAAGAGCTAAAATGATATTAAAATTGCATTCTTCAACATATAAGTGTGTTTGAAATATATATAAATAGATATGAACAAAATAATTGAAAAATGTGCTTTAAGAGAAATAACTACTAAAATACTGTAAAAATTGTTAATAGTTATTTTGTTAATAGTTAAATTGTTAATTATTATTAAATTGGGATATATATTATGACCTATATGTGGTTAGCTCATCTGGTATTTATTTTATATTTTAATTCAGACATTTTAAAATAACCTAGAAAGCTGTATTGCACCTACTTTTGAAAATTTTAAAGATATGTGGTAATGTCATCATTTGCTAAACTAGGAGTTGTCGCTTTCCTTACATGCCCTATGCAATATTTACTGTGTACTTGAACCAGGTGGTCACTTTGTTTATAATATTATGGGTGTAGTTTTGTGATTATATAATTTTGAGTGTGTACCACAAAGGTGTACATGCTGGAACCTTGAACCTCAATGGGGTGAAATATTTTAAAAGGTGGAGCTTAATGGAAGGTGGTTAGATCACTGGGTTAATGTAGTTCGTGAGAGACTAGTTAGTTCTCATGAGAATGAGTCATTAAGAGAAGAACAAGCCTGACATCTGAGTTACAATGGCTTCTCCTGTCTTGCATTGCAATCTTTATACGCCCTCATTTATGATGTCATCTGCAAAGAGACCCTCCCAGACACCAAACAGATGGGGCTGCCTCCTCTTACATTTAGCCTCCCTACATTGAATGGAAAAGGAGAAAATGGACATTCTTCTTCTCTTGTTCTTTTTTTTTTTTTAATTTTTTTATTGTGAAAATACTGTACAGAGGGGTTACAATTACATGGGCAAGATAATGAGTACATTTCTTATCGAGCATTGTAGCCTCCTCCTTTGTTTCCCCTTCCCATCCATTCCCATCCTACCCCTGCCCCCCCCCTCCCTTCCCCGCACCAAAGTTGTAAAGTTCATTTTCAACATAACGACTTGTACATCTCATTGTTGCAATGGGTCCACCTGTATCCCTATTTAAACGATTTGTTTTTTCCCTTCCCCTCCACAAATTATACCAACATCAAATACAGTGAAAGCAGGGGTTATACTGTGGGGGAGGGACATACAAAGCAACAAAGAAATAATCTTATAAATGTGTTAGAAACAATCACATGAGAGAAAAAAACATTTGAATACATATCTTAGGGTTCATTTCCCTAACATCAACTTATCTGACCTTTTCTGCTTGACTCAGACATATACTAGATATTGCAAATAAGGGAAACCATGGGACCTATGTTTCTTTGGGCCTGGCTTACTTCACTTAATATAATTTTTTCCAAGTCTTTCCTTGTCCTAACAAATGGGGCAATGTCATTCTTTCTGATGGAGGCATAGAATTCCATTGTGTATATATACCACATTTTCTTGATCCATTCATCTTCTTCTCTTGTTCTATGTCCAAGAATAAAAGCTTTTTGGTTTCTCCCATTGATAAAACTTTTGTTTTTACTTTTCCAGAGCTGGGGATTAAACTCAGAACGTGTACATACTAGGAAAATGCTTTACCCTTGAATTTACCTCTTCAGTCTTTCCCCACTGGTCAAAGCCTACAGGCTTTTCAAATAAATTCCTTTTATACCTAACTTACTGAGAATTATTTTTATCATAAAACGGCATTAGATGTTTTAAATGGCTTTTCAACATCAGTTGAGATGATTTGGTTTTCATCCTTCATTTAGTTTAGGCGCCATGTCTCATTGATTTATATGCATATATTGAACCATCCTTTCATCTTAAGGACAAGTCCCCTCAGTTCTGGCATGTGAACATTTTAATGTATTATTGAATTCAGTTTAACAGTATACTTGTAAAGAAGTTTTGCATCCATGTTCATCAGTGGTATTAATCTGTTATTTCCTATGTTGTTATCTTTGACTTTTGTATTAGAATAGTATTAACCTCATGAGTTTGGAATCTGCCTTGTTATATTTCTGGAAATTTAAGAGTTGGCATTATCTTTATTTATTTATTTTTTGTCAGTCTTGGGGCTTGAACTCTGGGCCTGGGCACTGTCTCTCAGCTCTTCAGCTCAATGCCAACACTCTACCATTTGAGCCACAATGCCACTTCCGGTTTTCTGAGTGGTTATTGGAGATCAGAGTCTCACAGAGGGCTGGGAAGGTGGCTCAGTGGTAGAGCGCTTGCCTTGCATGCATGAGGCCCTGGGTTCGACTCCTCAGCACCACATAAGCAAAAAGAAAAAAGCTGGAAGTGGCGCTGTGGCTCAAGTGGTAGAGCGCTAGCCTTGAGCTGAAGAGCTGAGGGACAGCGCCCAGGCCCAGAGTTCAGGCCCCACGACCGAACCCCCCCTTCCCCCCCCCCCAAAAAAGAGTCTCACAGACTTTCCTGTCCAAGCTGGCTTTGAACCGTGATCCTCAGATCTCAGCCTCCTGAGTAGCTAGGATTACAGGCATGAGCCATCAGCACCCTGTCCTTATGTACTTTTTTATTATCTTTAAGTCATTTTACAAAGGAGAATAACTAGTATTATTTTTAAGTGGTTAGTAAGATTGTGTATAAAGCCTTCTGTCCTGAGATTTTCCATTTTTAATTACTAATTCAATCTTCACAATATTTATTGGTCTGTTCAAGCTTTCTGCTTCTCTTTTTTAATCTTTAAGTAATTGTGCAAAGGAGTTTTAATTCAGTATTCAATCTATGAGTGTAATACATCTTGATCAGTGTCATTTTTTGTCATTCTCCCCCTTATCTATCCCTACCCTACCCAACCCCCAAATTACCTGTTCCCTTTACACATCCATACATTCAATATTATGACTGTTATTTGCCCATCTTTCCTCTCTCCATTCATCTGCCACCCCTCCCTTGAAGCCCCATTCCCTACAGGAAAAACAAAACAAAACATGTTTCAGCTCCCTGATATTCATTTTGTCAATTTGTCAATTAATTGTTCGATGTGACTCTACCCTTGCAAATACCATAGCCAGTTTGATTATGCATTTATGTTTATATGTTTTCATATATATTTACATTTTAGAACTGACTTCCACATATGAGAAAAACTATACTATCTGTCACTCTGACAGGATTTCTATTTCTTCTCTCAATCTTAGTTTGTGTATTCATATAAATTTATCCATTTCTTCTAGGTTGTCTATTTGGGAGCATATAATTGTTTCTAATTATCCATAAATGTCCTTTATGATCTTTCTCATTTCTTTGGCATCAGGAGTAATGTCTCTTATTTATTTTCTAATTTTGAATTTTCATTTTTTGTTACTATTGTTACTTTTATCTTTTCA